ATATATTATATATCGTGAAAAGAAAGATCGAGATAATATTAAATGTCTAGCATTGCCTTACGTGCAATAGTCGTTTAAATGTTCTGGAAATCTAACTGTTCTTCCAGAACGCGTCGTTTTAAGTTTACTTTCAGATACATTCGGAGTATCATCGTGTGTATTGGTTGTCGGTTGAGGAATTATGAGTGGAGTCGTGTCGTTCGATTGTACCGAAGGAAAATTGACGTAGATAGGATTTCCTTCTAAATACGCTGCTTTGAGGCGATCGATGCTGATGCTATCGTTGGTTCCGTTCTTATCGATTAAATAGTACTTCGGTTCGCGCTGAAGAACTTTGAAAGGTCCTTCGTATGCTTATTCGAATGGTCGTCGATGCGAGTCTCGACGAACGAAAACGTGTGTACTATATCGTAAGTCAGGTTGAACGAAAACATCAGTCGATTGAGGTCGAGTGGAAACAGGTTTAACTGAACGCATTGCGTTTGTAAGCCTGTTCGTATAGGAGGTTAGATCCATGTTCATTGAAAAGGATGAAGGATCCACGAATTCTCCTGGAAGTCGAAGTGTCGTTCCATGAACGAGTTGAGCCACCGTGTATCCAATGTCAGCTTTCACTGCATTGCGGATACCTAGTAAGACGAGTGGAAGAGCGTCGGTCCACTGTGAAACGTTTGCGGCTGATAGTGAAGCTTTTAGTTGTCGGTGAAAACGTTCTACCAACCCGTTTGCCCTTGGATGGTGGGCGGTCGTTCGGAATAGAGTGATTCCTAAAAGTGTGGTCAGACGACGGAAAAGATCAGATTCAAACTGACGTCCGCGGTCTGTAGTGATGGTTGAAGGGCAGCCGAAGTTTGCTACTCATCGTTCGACGAAGGTGCGGGCCACTGTTTCAGCAGTGATGTCCTTGATAGGTACTGCTTCTGGCCATCGAGTGAAACGGTCTACTCAGGTTAAGAGGTGAGCGTATACATTTGAATCTGGTAAAGGTTCTACCAAATCCAGATGAACATGGTCGAAACGAGCATCGGGAGTTTTAAATGAGCCTAAGGGACATTTATTGTATCTGATGGCCTTAGATTTTTGGCAGCTTACACAGGCGCGTGCTCACTTCCTCACGACTTTATTTATACCAGGCCAGCAAAACCGTTCTGCTATAAGCTTGATGGTTGCCCGAACACCTGGATGCGAAAGTTTGTGCAATGTATTGAAGACATTGCGTCGATAATGTTTCGGCACGATTGGGCGATCCCTACCTGTAGATGTGTCACAAAGTAAGGTTTCCTTACCTGTTCCCATCTGTTTGATGCGTAGTTTAAGTGTTGTGGACGATAACTCGTGCTGAAGATCACTGTCTTCTTTTTGAAGCTGGGCGAGTTTAAAAAGGTCGATTCCAAGGAAGTTATGCGAGATAAGGCGTCTGCAACTACATTGTTTGCTCCAGAGATGTGTTGAATATCTGAAGTAAACTGCGAAATGTAGTCCAGTTGTCGAGACTCACGGGGAGAGTACTTGTCAGGAGGAGAGCTTAACGAGAAAGTGAGCGGTTTATGGTTCGTGAAGAGTGAATTACGGCCTTCGATATAGTGTTGGAAATGCCGTACAGCACTATACATAGCTAGGAGTTCCCTACCGAATGTGCTGTACCTCGATTCGGTGTCTAGCAACCTTCTAGAGGAAAATGCCAAGGGTTGCCAGGAGTTGTTAACCCATTGTTGTAAGACGCACCCGATTGCCGAGTCCGATGCGTCTACTGCGATACTAATGGGTGCTTCGGTGTCCTGATGTGCGAGCATTGTTGCTTTAGCGATCAGTTCCTTAACTGTGGAGAATGCTTTTCGTGCGGTGTCGTCCAAATTAATCGATTCCGCGTTTCCACGAAGTTGGTCGGTAAAAGGTTCTGGGTAATCCAGAATGGCCGCCACTTTGGTTCTAAGAGGTCGAATGCCTTGAGCATCTATAGTGTGTCCTAGGAAGTTCAATGAGTCGGTTCCGAATTGGCATTTCTGAACGTTTACAGTAATGCCATGTTTTTGTAGTCGTTCGAAAACAAGATCCAGATGCTTGAGATGTGGTTCTCTGTCCGGACTTGCGATTAGGCAGTCATCAACATACGCATGTACGAAGTTGAGACCTCGAATAACGTCGTCTATGAATCTTTTGAATGTTTGAGCCGTGTTACTTAAGGCAAAAGGCATTCGCAAAAACTCATAGAGTCAGAAGGGAGTAATGATAGCTGTTTTCGGTATGTCGTCAGTAGCCATAGGGATTTGGTTATACGCTTTAACCAAGTCGATTTTCGAAAAGACAGTTGTACCTTTCAAGGTAGCTGTCAAATCGTGAATGTGAGGCAACGGGTAACGATTGAGAGTGGTGTTTGCATTCAATCGCCGATAGTCGCCAGTTGGACGTCAATCGTTGCTGTCCTTTTTAGGGACCATGTGCAACGGAGATGCATAAGGGCTATTTGACGGTCGTATGATTCCTAAGTCTATCATATGGTCGAACTCGTTTTTCGCCAACCTTAGCTTTTCGGGAGCTAGTCGTCTTGCTGTAGAGAATACAGGTGGTCCTGTAGTCGTGATGTGATGTGTAACGTTGCTGGTTACACACGGTTGTTTCAGTTGCGTTTGTTGTATCCTAGGGTACTTATCGAGTAGTGGTTGATAAATTGGTTCTATTTTATGCTTGATTGTGACTGGGGATAGTCTACAACCAGAAAAAGAAGTTGTGCAAACGGACAAATTAGTGTTTCCGTCTACTAGCCCCCGTTTGCGCGTATCGATGATCAGATTGTTATGTTGTAGAAGGTCCTTACCGATGATTAGCATAGATACATCTGCAACAACGAAGATCCAGTGGATGGGTTTGCGTAAACCCACGTTAAGGTAAACGTACATTTTGCCATACGTAGCGATCGGTTTTCCGTTTGCCGCCTGTAAGTTTAGGGTCGATTCGTAAAGTCGGCTTTTGGAATTCGCTGGGAGAACGCTTATTTCTGCGCCAGTGTCGACGAGGTAGCGAACTCTCGTTGTCACATCTGTGACGTACAACAGACGGCTATGTTCGCCAGCTACGGTTGCCGTTAACGCGTGCCGGCTTGGAAGTTTCCCGAGTTGTTTTTCGAGTCAGTCGGTTTTGAGATGGGGAAATTGCAGGGTTTTCTGCAATTTCTGGAAAACTTTCCATACTGGTTATGATACAAGCACCAGTCGGGGTTATCCGTATCTCGTGGTCTAGAGACAGATCGCTTATGTGAAATGCTTCTACGTAGGGTGTTTGAGCGATTACGGTCGTTATGAAGATTAGGTTAACGCGTGAGGGTATGACATAACTCGGTTATGTCATTCTGAGTCGTGTGAGGCTTTTCTTTGACTGAGAATACCTCAGTTTTAGATTTCATAATTTCTAAGATACGATCGGCAGATGCAGCCAGCTCGTCGAAGGCGTTAATCTGAAACGAGACCAGAACCGCTTGCACCCGTTGGGGAAGTTTAGAAAGAAAAGTTGTTTGAATAGACCTTCGTTGAAAGTTCTCAGGTCTATCACCTCTCTCATCCTTTGCAACATGTCCGTCGCAGAACCGTGTTGCAGGTCTATGTTATTAAAGAGTTGATCTAACCTTTGTCGATCGGTTAGGTCCCCTCGTTTAAGAATCGAACGCTTTAAGGTTTCGTGAGGTTCAGAAACATCACTAGTAAACATACTAGGTGTTACGTACCTGTTGAATTCGCGCGGTAGTGCCTTGACTACTGCGAGGAATTGTGCACGTGTGTCGATCACGCCGTGCTCGTGGAAGTCAGCTTCTGCGTAGCAGAACCAGGCTTCGATGTTGTCGGGCCAGAAAGGCATGAGTTGAGGCGAAGGCGGGGACAAAGTCTTAAGCTTGAGTACTTTATGTGTCTGTTCAGTCATGACGAAGTATGAAGTACGATAATGAACGAGGGGAAAAAAAATATATATCCAAGAAAAAACACGAAAAAAAAATCACAATGTTTAAAAAAAATAAGGCAATGATATATAAAAATCCCAAAAACGAACAGATTCACAGTTGCAATTAGGTGTACCAGATCACGTTGCTCTCACCAATGAAGATGACACTGGTATTCAGTGTTTGACAACGCTTCTACCAGTAACACCTAATATGATTTGTACCCACCGAAAGAAATCAAAAGACAGAGTCGAGGAGATCGGAAGAGTATATTTGGCGATGACTAATATATCGGAATTCTCTGATCTAATCTGGCTAGCGATTGCAGTAGCAGTTGAGCACGGCGTTACCACACGTGATCTGGTGCGGATGCCTGACCGAGCGCCTTCAGCTAGATGAGTCCACTAAAACATATGGTCAGCATCCAATGTCGAAAACTTACAGGGCTACTTATTTTGGGGATTTATTTACCGCTTCAGGGCGTTTAACAATAGGATTAAGTCAGTTAAGTACAAAGCGGAAGCAATTAATGGAGACTCTATGGCTCAGCCGTCCTGACTTGGTCACTTTACGTACCTTGTTGTTCTTCACGTATAATGCATTATCTATATGATGACGAAATGTGTTCTTCAAAGGTTCTTAAAAACAACTTCCATGATAGGACGAGTCAGCACAGACATTGATGTAATCATAACGCAAAATAGTATTCAATAAGCAGACTCCCCAATATTAAATTTGGTCTATCATCAGTATGTTATTGAAGCTCTATCTGTCGACGCTTTCAAAAGAAAGTAATATCAACTAAGAGATACCATTGTAAAGACAAACACAGGCCATCTGGAATCCTGTTCTTTCCAAGCTGAAACTGATTTGTGCCTAGGAAATATTAAATCCTTAATTAACCATTAAATTCAAAAGAGCGGGTGAATAATTAGAACATTCACTTTAGACAAGGGAAAAAGCCTGAGACAGCATATTGGAATCACTGTGCGACCACACAGGGATTTGTTCGCTCATGCAAGCTTGTCACAAAGATATTGGACAGTTTTTTTGTTTAAATTACTAAGAGTCAGAAATAGCCTTAACAACTACATAGACGGAATATGATTCAGTTTTCTAGTAGCTCGGAATGGCAAGAAGAAGGAAGAAAAGTAGAAAAAGTACCGGTTCCTCCAGGAAGGAAGAACTGACTTCAAGTGTTGCTTGCAATGTTTTGTACGATCCTAAAACGTATGAAGCGCAGATTGGGATACTGAAAAAGAAAATTAAAGAGTATTTTATTCCTATATTTATAAAACTATTAGCTATCAGTACGTGATCGATAATTTTAAGGATCATATTCTTCAAACAACGTCTAAAGTCCATAACATTGAATCAGATGGCAAGGGACTTATCACATATTTACAAAACTGCATTCAAAATAAAGGTTAAGTACACCCACGCTTTTTTTTAAACAATAGAATATAGATAGGGAAATCGTTGGTTTGAAACAAAATCTCAGCACTTTACTTAAAAGGATGAGTGAAAAGCATAAAGAACACAACAAAATTGTAGTCAGTCTGAGGCTTGAAATCGAGGCTATTGAAGAAAAGTTGAACTCAGAGAAAGCAGTTTTGAGTACATTTGTTTTTCTTACATTGTGATTGATATATATGTAGCGGGAAAAGTTGAGTCTCTCGAAAATTTTAGTGTTGAGCGAGCTCAACTGCAATACAAGACAACAGAAATACAAAATTTAATCGAAGAAACATTGAAACTCAATAAGTCCGTATATCATGAAAAGGATTTAGAACTAACTGTTTCTCAAGACCGGTAAGTTCTAATGTATTCAAATAACAACCTTGCTGTTCATTTATGAAATCATGTTTTTTTATTTTTCATAAAATTTTCCTCAGCAATCTGTTCGAGTAGATTAACTGAGGTTAGGATCACTAGGCGCTATTGTATTTTTGATATGTAGGTTAACTATTTGTAAGTCAGACCGTATTCATAGTTTCAATGTTTTTAAAAGACTCGATGTTTTTGCTGGTTCAAAAATACTATTCTACCTTGTGTCGCGCAGTTTTTTGAGGGTTTCCTTAAGCTATAAGCCGTCAGATACCATGCAAACAGAACAATTTTTATAAAAGTTTAATTAGATTTTTCCGGCCAAAAGTTAACGCTTCATGGAGATTTTGAGGTAATAGATTTTGGCAGAAAATCCAATAAGCTTCTGTTACTAAAGTCTCTATTCTATATTTACACGTAATACGAAGTGTAAATAAACAATAAAGACATACAGACAATTGATGAATGCCTGTCAAATCTATGGATTCTTCCAGTTTCAGTTTGGGAAGGACAGGAGGCCGGATGGCCTGTGTTAGTCCTGGCAATGTTGGTCCCTCAGTTGATCCAACTTTCTTTTGAAAGAATCGACGGATAGAGCCTCAACCACGTGCTGAGGTAATGAGTTCCACTCGTTGATGATTCGATGGGAAAGTCGATAGTCAGCTGACAAGTAATTTGTTCTTGGCTTGTGAACTTTTTTGGAGTGTCCTCGTAAATTCTCTGTTTTGGAAGACAAGAAAAATGAGGGCATGTTAGGTGCAAATTTATCACTAAGCAATTTGTAGACTGTAATCAAGTCGCCTCTAGTTCTGCGATATGACAACGGGAAAAGGTTCAGCTTGGCCAGTCGAGATTCATACGGAAGCTTCGCTATTCCGGGAATCAGCTTAGTTGCCGTTCTCCGAACCTTTTCCAGAAGCTCACTGTCTTTTTTTAAGCAGAGGCTGGCCGCTTGTATGCAGTACTCAAGTTTAGGACGTACGAACACTGTATACAGAATCAGAAACGTCTTAGCGTCGACATGACTAAAAGCCCTACGTATTGACCATAACGTTCTAAAACCTTTAGCGGCTATTGCACGGCAGTGTGCAGTAGTCTTTAAGTCTTGGCTAACGATAACTCCTAAGTCATTACATGTCTGGACGACAGGTAGCTCAGTGTTATTCATTGTGTATGTATCTGTACCTTGATGACCGATATGCATCATAACACACTTGGAAGTATTTATCGGCAACTGCCAGGTTTGAGGCCATTCAGATAATTTCTTCAGATCATTTTGAAGTTCTAAGCTATCACCCTCACATCGTATCGTTCTCCATATCTTGACATCGTCAGCATATAGCAAGACCGATGATGATAAGAGATGAGGAAGGTCATTTACGTACAACAGGAATAGCACTGGCCCAAAAACTACCCTGAGGCACTCCACTAAGCACTGTTTCCCAGCTAGATAACTTTGAGTTCACCCGAACTCCAGTAACAATGTTTGCACAATCTTTGGGCTATGTTTCAAGTGACCGTATGGCAATTAATTTCAACATAAGTGTTCCTGTTTGTGTCGAATAAACAACGAAAATCATAAGCGAATTGATAATATAAAAGTTAGGAGATTAATGCCGCTGGAGGACTATCGTATTTAATTTTAATAAACGCGCTATAGTTGACCGCTGTAAAACGTTTGTATTTGTTCCCGCAAATCAGGCTGTTTGTACAAGTTTAATATTAATCCTAATTCCTTTCAAATAATTAAATAAAAAGCTGAGCAGACAAATATAGAGTTTGCTTACTAACTCCGACCTCACCAAACCCTCAACCACTTAACACACTGAGGTCTGTATATAAGGGTTGTAATTGAACTTTAAGTTAGAGCCGTAACACGACTTAGGTTTTGATTTCCGTTTAGTCACAGTGTTACATTCGAATTTTAAGCACATTTGCGGTACGGAACCAACTTCCCTTTATCAAAATAGTTTCCTAATTAGATATTCTAGTCTCAATATAAAAAAGGTTAATCAGTTTATGCCATCATTAGATATTTCATCATATGATTATTATTGGGATATTCTTTTAGTGGACTTATTACTAGGCTATGAAATCGTCTACATGTGAAATTTTAGGACTTCACAATTACCCCGAAATATGGTTATTGAGGAAAACTAGTGCAAATAATGACAAAAGGGGGTCCCAGAACTTCTGTAAGACACGTTCAAATTAAAAAATCTGTTAATGAGCTGTCAGTGGATAGAGTAAGACAACCAAACTGTTTTTGTCACAGTAAATACAGATATCAGAGAGATCAAATGAACTTACTTCAAAGAATCGTAATTAAAATATGAGGATATGAGAAGTGATTATGGGAATAGAACATTTTCAAATGCAAAATCAGTGATAAAAACAAGAAGCAATTGTTTTTACATCACGTCCAGGTTTGGTAATAAATAAATAAATAAAACTGGATGATTGATGACGTGTTGCATGATAGTAGTTTTAAAAAAGTCAGTATTTGGGATTGAGTACAAACTCCTGAATGTTATTTTTGTTTCTCTAGTTCCATTACCTGATGATTCATCTGAACGTATTGAATTGTAACAACAAGTAGATAGAAGGCAACAATAAAGTGTTTTGTAAAAATTATTTGTTAATCCAAGTCATTATACTTTGAGTTAGAAGGAAAAAGAAGTAGTAAAAAATTAAACATTAGATGAACAGAATGAGGATACACCAGTATCAAGTAACTATAAAAACATAGCAGAAATTTAAAGAGCAACCAACAATAAGATTTACAAACAATTATATATCTGTGTCTACAAGATGACGGTGATTGAGAAAACACTAGTGGCCAATACAAATACTAACTATAATCATATAGCAAGTTTCAATGAGGTAAATTACATATATTTATGGTCTAACGTCACATCAAACTAACTATCAGATATATATATATATATATATATATATATATATATATATATATATAGTATCCCAATGTGTAGAAAAACTGAATTTCCTGAAGTTTCGTGACTCGGTGTAAGGCACTTCTTCAGAGAATAAATAATAACTATCAGAGACGTTATTAGTTAGTTCAGCCAACTACAAATTGAACCAATCTACACAACTTCCCTTTGCTAATCATAATAAGGTTTATCTCATGTCACTCCTACATCGACCCGCAAATTATATTATAATTTCGAATGATTTGAAGTAAATATTTTTCCACAATCATTTTATCCAACAAAGATGGACAAACTGCATCACATCAGTTTCATAAAATTTAGTTTCCATCCAACTATGCTCAAGATATTTTTGGGTAGATTAGATCCCATTTACGTGTTTTGGAGATTTTCCAAAAAACTAGTTTAAGCTCTTGTCATTTTATTTATGGTAAGACATAGTTAAGTTTAAATAAAAGTTTGTCGAACACTTGGTTTGTTGTTAATATTGAAATCTTATTGTTTTAAAACAATATGCAACTTACAGATTATTCAAAGAGATGTTAAGCAGGGTTTCACACTTGGCCGGCGAATTTCGAATCGGCACAGAGAAACGAGTTAATAAAACAGAACGTCGAACATTAGAATGCAATTATAAACTTAATGACAAGTTGGCAAATCTAAGCAACAAAATATCCCATATCATGGGTAAACATAAATCTTATAAACAAGCTACAAGACAGTTGAAGCATGATGTAAACGTACTACAGGAACTAAGAGATCAAATGCATAAGAACTGGTCGGATCATATCAAAGTAAGTAAAATATCAGTTTCTAACCGGTGAAATTTCTGTCTATTGTGGTGAAAGTAAAAGTCAATGGTCGAGGCACTTGTATGTTAGTTACTTTGAGATTTGGTCTGAACTTTACTTCTAACTTTACATGAGGAAGTAAATATCAATAATATACAAAGTAAGTAGAAGTGTTTTACAATGTGTATTTCAAACGAGAACGCATATATGAAATAACTGACCGATGTTGTTCGATTTTTGGCTCTGTTAGTTTCTTTTGAATAATTTTATTCGATAATCAATAGATTAATGGAATTTGCCAAAGGATACTAATTGTAGTGAATTGTTAAGCATATCCAAAGGAAAAACATTTAGGAAATATTTTTACAGATCATTCTTTGTAAACCCATTCACGTCCCCATATCATAGCAGTTGATAGTAAGAAGATGATGTTCCTCTGAACCTCTTTTAATACATCCCTTTTCGTATATATTAATTGTTTATACAAATTTGAAGAGCTTGAACTAATATGGTATTTAATCATTTCTTTTAACATTGAGAACAGTTATCATTGATGAAACTGACATAACTGCACCATGAATAGGTCAGTTTACTTTAAACTGACTAACACATTTCGCTATTTACATTTGTGTTAACTTGAATCAATTTATTTTTCTTTGACAAAGAAATCACAAGTCCAATTTTCTGCTCTTTCGGACATGATAAATACCATTTTCATAAACAATTCACGATAAGTAGCTTCATATAACGTAATATCTAATAGCTCTTCATATTTTTCAAATGTACACTCAAAATTAAATTAGCGACTAATTCTTCTAAAATATTTAAAACATTTCAGCAAGTTTATAAAAGTGTTCTCCATCTCTTTTACTTTCTTTCTGAAGTCTTTAAAAGGTTCAGTATCCAATTGTTTAGAAAAAGAACAGAAATTATCTTCAATAATGAAATCATTTACAAGTGACAAAACTATCGATTCAAAGAACAATGATTTATTTGACGAACAAATAAAATATATTAGTACGAAAGAAATTCGACTAAATGATGATTTACAAACATTAAGGTTACATTAATAACTGATTGTTTATTTTACAGCATTTTCTTTGTTGATACAACAAAAGTGTTTCCTTTTTTTTACACAAAATCATTCACATTATACGACTAGCCTTAAGTTACACATTTATTAGATCAATTTTATTGTTTTACATTCTAAGTTGAGAGATTCAAATAAAATTTAACGAACAACAAAAAATTATTCATTTGAACGAAGATACCAAAAGTTATTTATTGAGTCAGATTAAATCTAACGAAGCAACGTTGTTACTAGGAGTGAAATAAGAAAATGAAGTTCAACGTATATATCTGGTTTAATTTTGTCTTGTGATCAGTTTTTCTGCCCATGATAATCATTCAAACAAAATATAGCTATATTATAGTTGTTCAAAAATGAGAGTTTTCTTGGGTGATACTTATTTAGAAACCATTAAGGCAGGTGGTTTAATAAAACTAATCAGGCACTAAAGGAAATGAACTGAATAAATTCTTAGAATCAAAGAGCATTTTACAATCATATTTTTCCTAGTCCGAAACTTCATAGAACTAACAGTTATTGTTTGAAGTTTAAGATCCCAAACACTATAGTCTAAATGTCATCTTGTTTGTTGATAGATCTGAAGGTTTTGAGTTTGATCTTGTGAACACTAATGAAAAACTTAAAACTAGTTTCTTTTTTCATTCCGGTTGAAATTACGTTGAATTAAATTGTATCTGCAAAATAAATTGTGACAAATTACTGCATATATTAAAGTGTTTGATATAAATTTACTTTTTATCGAATGCTAATGGGGTGATTAATTAAACAAAACAGTTGGTTACAAAAAGAAAATCAATGTGACAATCCAAGATGAACAGTATACAATCATCAATAACTGAATAAAGCATTAGATTTTAGATGATTAATGATGTGATCGGAAACGGGCTATTTAAAGATTTAAAAAATATTTCAATTATTGAATAGTTCATTTGTAATATTTCAAATTTGTTATTCATATATTTGTCAAGAAGTATAGTAACATATGGTTACTAAGTTCTTTACCACTTAAATTCCATCAATACTTACTTGTATTTCAAATTATAGATTCGCATTCTTAGTTTATAGAAATTCTCTAAAACATTATTCAGTAAAATATTTAATTTAACAAGAATATTATTTTATATCTTTTTAAAAGATCTAAGTACGAGCATACATTATTTCAATATGAAGAATACATGGATCTGAAGGATAAAGGACTTTATCGTTTGAAACAATTAATTAAAGCTAGGAACAGTCTGTGTCAATTAGTGTTTGATTGCAAAACTGCATTATGGGAAGTCTATGAAGTAAGCTTACTTTATCTTATTCACGTTGATCTGTTCGAACTGGCCTATATGTCATTATATATATAAGAAATTTATTCCGGTTTCTATGTTTAATTTTGTATTTCTGTACATAATTTCCTTAAACAGATGTCAGAACCGGAAAATGCTATGAAACTGAATTTAACTGAACGAATTCAACGTCATGATCATTTATTGACTGCATTCTTTATCTTAATTTATACATGTGATCAGCTCATTTCACGTATTACCCCATATCAAATTGGGGACTTTCGATTAAGTCAAATAACGAGAAGTATACCCTCAGCATCAATAAAGCAGTCATCACGTGGTAATAAGGTTATGTTTAGTAATTCTCTGCATACATTTTCCAGTTCTTCATTGGCTAAAAGTGACAACCAGACTAGGAAATTTTCATCAAATAACAATGAATCTAGTGGATCATTGTTGGATTCATGTGGAAAAGATTGGTAAGTCATTGATTCAGTGATTTTGGCATGTAAACTTTTTAGAAATAATACGTGAAATTTTTTGTCTAAGACAGTAGTTAACAGTGGAGTCCAAAACGTATGTTTTGTTTCACTAATTGCAAATACCTGCATCTCAATATTGATATCGAAACTCGAACACGATACTATTTCACACCAAACATAAACCTGCGCTATCTACTGAACTACTAAGTCTAGACAACCACTAACGTTGTTGATATTAATACAAATACTAACAAATGATCAGCAAATTCTGTAAATCAGTCAAGTACTATAGGCTTTAGGTAGAGTTAGAAAACACATAATTTCGTAATCAGCGATGAAAGAGATATCTGAAGCGATTACCAATTTATTATTGCAAATATTCTCAACTAAGTAATAATCACAAAATCACGTTATGGAATAGGCCGATAAGAAAATTCGTTGTTGACATGGTAGACATGAAATAACCATGTAATTTCTTAATCTCACAGGCTAGTAGTTAGTGATCAAATACCCGTGTATTCTTCAATCATTTATTTCAAACTAATCTAAATGGTTTACTTCTGTACCTAATCCTTTGGTTATCAGTGCGTCAGATTGGTTAAAAGTGGTATTTTCTCAATCTTTCCTTTCTTCTGATTTCCGTTCATTCAAGAGTACCACATCATTAATTATGTATATATAAGTACTCATCACTCGGTTGCACATACTAACACAACATTTTGGCAAGTCAATTGAAGATAGACTTGTACACCAATGAATGCCAGCTCAGTGGTCTAGAGGTTGTGTTCACGCAGAGGTCCTGAGTTCGACATCTGCTTTAGTAGTCACGGATGCGCACTGATGAGGAGTCCTACATAAAGACGAAACGGCCCTTCAGGTTTTCAACTGTTATCTAACTTGGATCAATCCGTGGTATTATTGAATTTTAATAACCTGCACGAACCCATATTGATGAGTATTTTCTCGTTACATAAGGTCTGTGATGACTATTGGATGAAGGAAATCTTGTGCCTCAAAATCAAGCGCCTGCAGTTCTACAATCGAATACTGAGCCTTTACATGATTGGGTCCCAATATTTTAATGTAAAAATTTTAACTTGGCAGAGAAAAACATGCAGTGTTGTCGTCATACAACAGTGTAAAACCCACAACTACATGCTGAAGTGTACGACTGTTGTTCTCAGACTAATTAATGATAAGCTATAGGGTCAATAAAATTGTGTGTTTTAGTAAAGCAAGTACTGGTTCGATAAAATCACTTATAAATAGTAAAGATTTGTGCTCAAGTAAGTGGTTTCGATTAATCTCGAGGTAATCGTCAGACTAAAGGAGGCTTCTGTCTGTTAGTCAGCCGCTTGACTTGAGGTAATAAAGAATAACTTCGTTAAATTAGTGAATCTGGACCAGTCATGGTTAGTTTTTGGTTAAAAGGACCTAGGCTTCAACCACCAATCTGCTTCACTTCGTTTTGACTAGCTTTCATATAAAAAGTGGCTCGAAGTTAACTATATAAACCTTTACTTGGTAGATGAGTTATATTTAATGAAGTTTGGATACTTCATTTTAATTGTTTTGGTGGCACCAGGTTAGTTATCACAAACTATCTTATACACTTAAAATTATTTTGTGCTTATTTGTACGAAGATGTCATTTATTCAAACTGCTTTTTAAAACTAATTGCTTGTTTATTCAGTGATTCAACATCGAACTTCCCATTAGCATTAAAATTTGGTTTAGAACCAATAGACGATGCAAAGCAAAATATTTCCACTACTAATTTAATTAAAGAATTATCAAAATGTTCACGTCAATCAGTAAGACGAACTAACACACCAGTTTTACATTCAATAGCTGTGCAAACTGATTCATTATTCGCAAGTCATAAACAACCATCAAATTTATGCAAAAAGAGGAGTTTAAACAAAGCGTGTTTTGCAAGAATTAGTCGTGGAATTTTACAACTTCCACTGATTAATTCAACAATTCTAGCACCAAAGGAAGATTATGATGAATTGTACAGATTTAATATACAATCAACTTATAAACACAAGTCACCTATACTACCAAGTTTATACAAATTGGCTAGAATGTAATTCAGCTTATATATAAATGTTAACGGTTGAAGTATAATTATTGAGCCACAGGTTCGAACCATGTAGCAGCCAGAATCTTCCTGATGTTTTTTATACACTTAATGTGATTTTCAAGAATTAATGATATTTCAACGATTTCAATCACTATATTTGTCTGAATCTTAACTTTTCGGAGTTGTGATGTCAAGTCAAACATCCTTTTTATTGTATGAACATTTAGTGATCTTCATTTGATCGCTTCAAAAAACAATATGCACCTTGTATTTTTTTTATAATCTTGTTTAGTCACTAATTTTATTTATTTCGTTTGCCAATATGATAGATAAGTATAGACGTTTCATGAATTATTTTCAAGTTCATCTTAGGATTTATCAACTATTCCTAATTTCAGTGTGACACGAGAGATCAATTTCAAGTAGGAGCTTCATTAAAAAGATTTTTAAAAAATTTGAAAATTGTTTTTTGATGAGTCAAAAGTAAAGAAATGAAGTGCGAAAGAACATGTGAAAATGTTTGTGTTTGACTTGCCTAATCTTTTAGGCTAGCTTTTGACAACTTGCATCATTTATGGCGTAGGCAAGATATCCGTCTATCAACCAAAGGTCCGTCAGTCAGTCAGTAACCACGTAGAACTTCGTACGTACGTACATCAGTTCGAGTTGCCACACCACATTAGCACAGAGATGCAGTGGTCGATTGAAATCCCATAGTGGTAGAGGTAATAAGAGTATAAGCAGTAATCGGGAAGATTAGTGTTTGGAGATGTTACTTAAAGAGTATAATACAGTGAAATAAATTTGAGAGGAGAAAAAAAAGAGACAAGGAGGAATAAGAACAAAATTTGGGAGAACACAAAGAGTGTATGCACCTGCGCCATTGCAAACGATTTTGAGCCATGTCATTCAAGGTCTTTAACCATCGGTTGCTATCATCTCGCGGTCCCCAACCAAGTAGTCTACACTTACCGACATGACTCAGACCACTTGTCAGTGACTTCATGGACTTGTGCCATGTTTTGGTCTGGCCACCCCTAGCTTTCTGCCAACCTACTCCTATACCACTGAACATAGCACGTCGAGGCAGTCGGTCGTGGGGCATACGTAACACGTGTCCAAGCTATCCCAACTGATGAAGTTTCACTACTGCATCAATGGATTTGCCATCCTTACCTAGTACCCGTTTCCTAACAACTGCATTACTTACTCGATGGTCCCATGATATACGAGCAATGTCTAGAAGACACCTATGATCGAATACTAGTAGCCTACGGATATCCTCTACTCTTACCGGCCGTGTTTCACTGCCATAAAGTAGGATGGAACGAACTGCAGCACAGTAAACACGTCCTTTGTTTGATAGACGGATATCTCGCCTACGCCATAAATGACGCAAGTTGGTAAAAGCTAGTCGAGCCTTCTGTATCCGTGCTGGGATTTCGTCACACACCAGACCACAAGGGCTGATGAGACTTCCAAGATAAGTGAAGCGATCGACACGCTCAACTACTTCACTCCCTATCATTAGTTCGGGTGTCAATACAACCCAATCCTGAAGCAACATTTTGCATTTCGAGGGAGAGAATCGCATCCCGAACATGCTTGCATTGTTGCTTAGAGTGGTCATAAGACTCTGCATTTTGTCAGCGTCTTCGCCAAATAAGTCTGTCATCAGCATATTCTAAGTCAACAAGTGAAACTCCTGGTAGGAGTTCAACCCCTGGAAATTTAGATGAGGAGTGTTATCTCTAAAAGTACGTCAATGACAAAGTTGAACAAGAATGGGGAGAGTGGACAGCCCTGACGAACACCACTTGAGGTAATCAATTCTGATGACAGTTCGCCATAAGCTCCCACTCTACCAGTTGTATTCGAGTAGATAGCCTGTATAAGGTTAATGTACTTCTTTGGTACTCCTTTCAGTGACAAACACTGCCATAGAACCTTACGATCAACAGAGTCAAATGCCGCCTTAAGGTCGACCAAAGGGCGTGTTTACTGCGCAGCAGTTCGTTCCATCCTACTTTATGGCAGTGAAACATGGCCGGTAAGAGTAGAGGATACTCGTATGTAATTAGTATTCGATCATATGTGTCTTCTAGACATTGCTCGTATATCCTGGGACCATCGAGTAAGTAACGCAATTGTTAGGATATGGGTACCATGTGAGGATGGCAAATCAATTGATGAAGTAGTGAAACTTCGTCAGTTGAGATAGCTGGGACACGTGTTACGTATATCCAGCCACCGACTGCCCCGACGTGTGATGCTTTCTGGTGTAAGAGTAGGTTGGAAGAAAGCTATGGGTGGCCAGACCAAAACATGTCACAAATCCATGGAGTCACTGACAAGTGGATTGAGTTGTGTTGGTAGGTGTAGACTACCTGGTTGAAATTCGCGAGATGATAGCAACCGATGGTTAGAGACCTTGAATGACATGGCTCAAAATCATTTGCAATTCCGCAGGTGCATCCACTCCTCGTGTTTTCTCAAATTCTAATCTTCTGAATTCTCTATATCCCTTGTTTTTCTTTCCAAATTCCACTGGATTACACGTCTTGAATGACATCTCCAAACCCTAATCTTTCCGACTACTGCGAAGTTCTACGTTGTTACTGACTTGCTTAATCTCTTTGGTTCTCTCGAATCCCCTTTATTCGTCTTATTGGTTGAATGAGATTAAACTTTATCTTGTCAAACAAAATCAAGGAAATAGTCTTTATGAATTTTCTACAACGTACTTAGTTACTTTTTACATTAACATGGATAGAGGGGAGCTTAAAACGACTTATTGGCTAGTTCATGACGTTTGATTTACTGAATGTTAACAGTGATGTAGACAAATGAAAATTTGGAGTTTCGTCACCCAGTGTTAGTTGTTTACTAGAAGGATAAGTAGATTATGCTAATAAACTTTCAGTGTTGAGTAGCAGAGACGAACAAATGTTTACTTATGGCTGTTGATATAATGTTATCATCATACTTGAATGGTATGTTTGTGCTTTTAAAATGATTTAGCCAACTGTAGTACAAATGGTAGTCAAATAGTTACTTACACAGTATTTAGTATATGGACTAACCATAAGCTCCTCACGTAAACTACACGAGCCAAACAGTATGGCTGCTTAGTGAGAGTTGACAGTTTAAATTAATTTCATAAATTACTTTTGGTACAATTCATTGAATAAACAATAACGTAGAAACTGCGACATCACAATTAACTTCAAGTAGGTTTCAATCAGACGGGAATGTCGTGTCGAATGCTGATCTAAGGGTAGATCTTTTATTTTATTGTGTTTCAGCACATTTGTTATGTCCTGTAAATTCCATGCTTTTCCAAACTCCGAGTAAAAGTCAGGACGAATGAACACAAATAGTAAATTCTACTCATGGATGACGTGGATACACTACGGAAATATGGAATCGATAACGTACAGTTTGAAAATTTCGATAAGTTAACAATTATGGGATTCAATATACACGAAAATCAGTGGTTCAAGGCATGTATGATCAAACTTAGAATGTCACTGACTTTTTAAATCCATCTTTCATAACGATAAATGAAAATCGAGTGAGCTGTTATGCAGTACACTCACTTCTTAATTAGAAGACAGACGTCTTAGTCTACGCAAAAATTGATGGAAGCTGACAAAAAACCAAGCGAGATTTCCGAATCTACGCCGAAACTTCATCAGACACCAGGTCTGGTGATGCTTCAAAGATGGTAAGCGCATTGAACTATCTTACTCCCTACCATTAATTTAGGCATTAGTGGAGCAGTTTTAAGGAAGAACTTCGAATTGAGAGGCAGAGAAACGCATCTCACACATAATTGCCTGATTCCTCCACGTGATCAGAAGACTACATTTTGTCACTACCTTCATTTAGAAGAACCGTCATTTATTTGTTCCAGCCAACTACTGCCTGAAAGATCACTGACGGTACAAAAGGCGAATTTAAGGAAATTAATGCTGAGGAAGTGGTGAATAAACGGATTTTAAGATCTCTGAAAACTTTCTACTCAGCTAAGCTTGATATTATCTACTCCAAACGGGCTACCATTCATAGATGTGTTATGGGTAAACTTTCTCTTTGAGCCACATCGATGTGCATACATAGCTTTATTTGTTATCGGGGGACAGGTTACATTGATTTCACTAAGCAAACACTTTCTGAACGCATCTCAGAACAACACATAGCGTGGATTTTTCAAAAAGGAATCCAAAGCAATCAGAAACTCAGTACAGGAGCATATTTTCCAACTCCAGGCAACGTTGCCCCAGAAGAATCACTCTTCAAAAGAATCTACATGAATAAGGAGAGGTTGAGTAAAAAAACTTCTGTACTGCTGAGGCGACGGCGATTTATTAATTCAAGTATGAACACTGTGTCCAAAAGCGACACGTGCAACCTCTAATTTTGCCTTTGGCTTGACACTTTTCATAATGACTTAGTTTTGTTCTCACTGTCATATTGTACTTTCGGAGCGTGACCGGTTATCATCACCCTCTTACAAACATCCATCATTAGCCCCCAAATGGTATGGCCGAGGGTGGGAAGAGTCAGCTGTCCCTCTCGAAATGCCCTCACATGGCCACATGTGTACAGCCACTGCCACAGAAGTTCTACTCAATGGCTTCTCTTGGTAGGGCTGTTGTTTACAAAATTGAGGACGAAAAGAAAATGTTCAGAGCTTTAATCAGGTTGGTGGACACGGAGGATTCATCTAGTGTAGTTGGAAACTCCTGATTCCAAACCAATGGTGCACGTGGGTTCCGGGACCCCGAGGGAACGAATGGCGTATGAACCGATTATTGGTAACCGGCTACCATGGGACTGCATCTCCTTACGTTGCTCCACTACATTGTGGGTCAGACCTTTGGGTTGAAAGGCTCCGGGTGTGGCCTCCTACGAAAACCACCTGCTTCGGTTTGAGCACCCGGGCAGTATCACAGCCCACATCCAAACCAAGTGACTTGTGTGGCGCACATGTATTCGGTGCCCCTTTGTACCAATATTTATGTATTCAAATAAATAAACATGATTATTAATCAATTGTTATGATGACCTAAACGCATTTTACGTTTTTTCCATGTCTGTCAAGCAGACAATTGTCGCTCATATTTTAGATCCGTAGATATTTCTTAGCCTCCGATTCTTCTCAAACTTCTAGATTACGCGAAATTTTCCTTACATTTGAAGTCTTGGAAAAATTTCTGATGTGACCACTTCTTTTTTAGGCTCATATATTCATTGCACCACGAACACGAATGTATAGCTTTAGTAGATATCGTTGAAATGTTCGCTGTTGAGTTCTCTTTATTCGATGACAATGGGTTACCTTAACATTATTGGATGAACAAGTCATGATACTATAACTCTATTGAGACGATAAGATTGTATTCTTGATGTGAATTTAGTTGAAACGAAAATTACAAAACTTTGGTACAACTTAGAAATTGATTAGAAAAAAATTCCTTGAGTTTACTGCTTGTGAGAGGTCTGGAAGATATTATAGATTAAAAATACTTCACGACATTGTCCAGTAACTTGTTTTTACG